TTTTATTGATTATTACACATTGAATTTATTGATTTACTGTATCGAATCCATATTACTTATCTGTTTTATCACTTGTGAGGCACTTTTCTCAATTCGGTCCTGGATTTAACATGACGGATGCTCACGTGATCCGGAAAAGGAGATCAAAGGTGCCGACACGAAGTGGACCTACTGGTTATACTGTGTGCGTAGTGCCAGAGAGAGGTGCGTTGCCGACTTGCCGTTCTTCACTACTTCACTCAACTCTCAATTATCGCCAATCACCAGTCAGTGACACCACTGACACCAGTGGCGCCAGTATCGCCGAGTGTTTACGCGGGAGAGATTTGCTAGTATAGGTTATTATTCTAACCTCAAATACATGTGCACGATCTTTGAAAGCTCACCTGTAAATTTTGTATTTTCGACAACATGGAGCTCTTCGAAGATCCCATTTTTAAGACCAAATACTTGAAGAATAAACTTCGTGTGAAACGATGGGAGAGCGATTTTATGGAAAGATACGGACGCAAACCTAACAAGGTACGTTATCTCGCAACCCAGGCTAACATGTGATCGGTATTAAATTTTTAGCCATTCGATATTCGTCTCGCATTCTTTCCGTACGAGCTATATATAATATTGGATAACTCAAACTTGGAATTATGTATTTAGTTTTACGAGTATTATTTATGTGTATATATATATATATATACACATAAATAATACTCGTAAAAACTAAATACATAATTCCAAGTTTATAGTATATATAGTATATATAGTATATAGTATATAGTATATATAGTATATAGTATATAGTATATATAGTATATATAGTATATAGTATATATATATATATATATATATATATACATTATTAATATCGTTTTATCATGCATGTCATATATACGTGTCGTTGCGTTACAATTATGTTATTGCACTTTTTTGTAAATTTTTTTTGTAAATAGAATGATATAAAAGAAGCAGATGTATCTATCAAGGAGGCATACAAGATATATTGGAAGCTGAAAACACGAGCTCTCGAGGAGACTCTTACAGACATTACGTTCTGCGATGATATGCACACGCAAGACAATAACTCGAATAAATCACCGCGAAAGTTAATAAACAGTCAGGAGCAAGATAAGAATCCAAGCCCAGAGAAAGCTACAAAAGACGCAGAGAACATAGATCCTTATAATAAATGCTCGATGGAAATGGAAGACTCCTTTAACCAACTGGTTCCAGTGAACGTTGAAGGTGCCTGGGGCAATCATTTGAGCAAGAGTAAGGAGCAAGCGCCAAAAAAGAAGCAAGCCCTGCTGATTGGTAGATCTTCCTCCTTTCAACTGTCTAGGAATAAATTTGAGAATTCGACGTTTACTAAGCGAAATCCGAGAAAGTCGCTGTCGTCGACAAAAATAAGGAACAAATCCGAGAGTACCTTAAACAGCTCGAGCATCGATCGGTTGGATGTAGACAGCAAGGATGGCTTCGATGTGACGGTTGACGAGACAAAGTCTATATTTGGCGAATCGATGAAAGTGACGTTTGAGAAAAGCAAACCTGCTGCGTCGCAGCACTCCATTAATGCTGTCCAACAACTGGCCAACGGCCGTGTCACCGGCACAAGTCGTAATTTGAATCCAGGTTGGCTGGACCGATGCGCGAGAGACAGTAATTTGGAAGTGACGACGATCAACCCTCAGAGGCTGTCGGGCACCAGCGATTCTGGAATAGAATCCATGGAATCTAGCATTTATTCCCCGAAGGACTTGGCGTCTACCGTGAAATCTGCCTCGTCGCTCCAAGTCTCCGATGAGGAAGATTTTGTATGCAATAGCGAGTCCGAGGAAGAACACGGGAATAAGCGCATTAGAAACTTCAAGAAACAACTGAGCGATCAAGACGATCGTCCCGCGAAACGACGACGTATTTGTATCAATTCCGATTCTACGATCACTGAATCTAATAGTACAATCAACAACGGTACATTTAAACTGACTTCTTATGTCGACATCGATAGAAGTTTTAATTTATTGTATACAGATAAGAATATTAAAAACGAAATTGACAATGATAATGCATTTAAATCAGCTAACAATGTTGATACAAATACAGTGAACGAATCAATTAGGATTAAAAGGGATACAGTTTCTTTAGGTTTAGACATTGAATCGGACGTTATCATTAAGGATCAAGTGACGTCTGAAAAAGTCTGCCAGATTGAAAATGATCATAAGGACAAAGTGAGAGTTGAAAAAGTCTGTCAGACTGAAAACGATCAAACTAAAAAGGTATTCGGACTGATGGATACTGTTTCAAAATCTATCAATATTAAGAACCAGGAAGATCTTTTAGTATCAGATGAAAAACCCATGAAACGTGTATTACGTCGAAGAGTGAAACAGGTATCATCTGACAATTCCGATCTCGATTATACAGAAGAGAAAAGCAGAACTAAAACGAGAGCAAAGACAAATAAGAAATCTACGAATCAGCGAAATAAAAGGAAGACGGCAGATGATAATGAGACAAAATCCAATGTAAGAAGGAACTTTTCCAGAGGACAAACAAATTTAGAGAAGGATGACGAAGAACAATGTTCAGATTTGGAAATGAAGATCCCGACATATGGTGTAGAAATGTTGCAGACAATTCCTCGCTTTGGGATTAAGCCAAGTGGACCTGGCAATCTCATCGCACAGTTTTCTGAATCTGTTTGCACCGACGCGGTGGAAAGGGACGCCTCGATATCTTCAACAACGAGCACGAAATTGACCGCGAAGGAGAAGCTAGAGAAGAAAATGGCTGCCGGGACAATGAACGATAATTTCGTCAGGATAAATCTGAAGAAGAAAGTATTCGTGCGAGGTAAGAAAACCTTTAATTTGGGCAAATATAAGAGAAATCAGTGGAAACAGAGGAAGAAGGAGTTGACATCTAGTGAGCGCAACCTGGACGTAGCCGACTTGATCGACAAAAATGGCATGACATGCTTGAAATGTGGTGAATCCGGACACTTTGCTAAGTACTGCTCAGCTTCCAAAGGCGACGCTCTTCTACCCTTGGAAGAAGTCGACAACTCGTCGAACTTTCCGACTCTGGAGGAAGCTGAAAAGATGGCGAATGAGAAGGCCGTTGTTGTTCACAGTCACAAGATTGAGCAACTTCCCGAGCGACCTTTCTATTCTACTACGAAGACTTCGCGGGACGAAGAAGATATGACGGAATTGTTTAATGACGACTTCGTGGACTTCGACGAGAAGAGTGATACATTAACTTTTGGGCACAAGGTGCCACAGGAATTGGTGTCCAAATTGTTACCACCTCAGATGAGAGCGATTGATCCGTTATATGCTGTAAATGAAGACTGCAGTCTCGTCGAAACTCCCGCGGAAGTCTTCGAGGCATTACGCATGTTCGGTCACGATAGTTTTAGAGCTGGCCAGGAAAAGGCAATAATGAGAATATTGTCTGGCCAGTCTACCCTGGTAACGCTATCGACGGGCTCTGGAAAGTCTCTGTGCTATCAATTACCGGCGTATTTATATAGTCAACGTTCCGCTTGTATCACTCTAGTAATTTCGCCTTTAGTGTCCCTGATGGACGACCAAGTGACAGGCGTACCGATGTTTCTGTCCGCTGCGTGCTTACATACCAATCAGTCGTCGAAAGTAAGGGAACAGGTGATGCAAGCGGTGAAGGATGGCAAGGGGAATATCCTGCTGGTATCGCCGGAAGCGGTGGTAGCTGGCGAGAAATCCTCTGGTTTCGGCGCTCTCCTCAGGCAACTACCGCCAATCGCGTTTGCCTGCATCGACGAGGCACACTGCATCTCCCAGTGGTCGCACAACTTCCGACCGTCCTACCTGATGGTTTGCCGGGTGCTCAAGGAAAAGTTGAAAGTGAAAACGGTGTTAGGACTCACGGCAACCGCTACAAAGACGACAACGGAAAGTATAATAAAGCATCTGGACATACACGACGGTTTGGCTGGTGTTATATCGGACGTGCCCTTGCCTAAAAATCTCATTCTAACAGTGTCCAAGGACGAGAACAAGGACCAAGCTTTGATCGCACTGTTGAGGAGCGAGAGATTCCGCAAATGCGACTCTGTGATAGTTTATTGCAATCGTAGGGAGGAGTGTGCGAGAATTGCGAGATTGTTAAGAATATCGTTGCAGGTAAGCGTTAAAATTTTCAATCTCACTGCAATCACATGTATTTTAACAATAGAAGCAAAAAAATATACACCTTTTTACATTAGATGAAATAAATTAACTTAAAAACAGTTTATATATACATTTCTATTAAATAAGAAAGGTCTGAATTAAATGTATACATTTTACACCGATAGGATCCGCGAAATCCTGAAAAGCCAAACATGAAGATATCAAAAATAGCTGAAACTTACCACGCCGGTATGACGCCTCACAGACGCAAAATTGTGCAAAAGGAATTTATGAACGGGAAGATTAAAATTGTAGTTGCCACTATTGCATTCGGGATGGGCATCAATAAACCGGACATCCGGGCTATCATTCATTACAATATGCCTGGCACCTTCGAAGGATATGTACAAGAAGTCGGTCGTGCTGGAAGGGACAATATTACCGCACATTGTCACCTATTCTTAAATCCCACGGTATCACGTCTAATTAAAAATCTGAGATTCAGATTGTTATATGAAAAACTGTTTCTCATCATTTTTCACTTATCTATCTTGATCTTTTTATTAATTGAATTCATTATTCCTAACACAGCAAGACAACGATAAGTGGGAATTGCGTAAACACATACATGCGAATGGTCTCGACAGGCATACGATTAGACATCTACTTCAAAGGATTTTCATTCCCTGTCTTTGTGCGAAGATCAACAACAAAGATTCGAGTCGAAGATGTCCCGGTCACGAAGTTGCTCTTCCAATCGATGAAACCGTTCAAGCCCTTGACATCACGCAAGAAATGATTTCGACATTATTGTGCTATCTCGAGTTACACCCGAAAAGATTCATTACCGTACTATCGCCCGTGTACGTTCGAGCGCGAGTTTCAAGTTATGAAGGACCACAAGCTCTCAAACAAGCCGCACAATCCGTAAGACTTACAAAATAATAATTTTAATACTAATAATATATTTATTTTTCTTTAAATTCTAAATAGACAATACTTTAAGAGTACAATACAATAAAGGATAGCAAAAAGATTTTATTATGATATAAAGATAATATAAAAATAAATAATGTGGAAACTATTTTGATTTGTAGTCTCCACCGCTCGCGATGGCAATAGCGCTGGACAAGAAAAACGGGATTTCACATGAAAATAGTAATATTATAGAGTTTCCAGTAATTGACGTTGCATCAGCTATCGGATGGGATAGCGGCGTAGTAAAAAGTCATCTTAAAACTTTAGAATGGAAGACAAAAGGTAAGAATTTTATATATTCTTGAGACCAATAAAATGAGCAAATAAGAGAGATGTTGTAATATACTTGTACAATTTAATTTAATAAAATTATAGTAGGACGTTTTGATTTTACTAACAAGTCTGCTTCAGCCGCAAATACAAAATTCAACATATAATATATTACATTTATTTTAATTGGAAAACACGTGACATTTCTTACCAGTTTTTATGATTAAATATTTAAAATTAAAATCGTTGTCTCAGTCATTTTTATTCACTTTTTTTGTATAAGTTTTTATTAGTTTGATTTAGTTACCAATATTTGTAAAAAAAAAAGTGAATAAAATAGTCTTTAAACAATGATTTTAATTTTAAATATTGGACAACAAAAAATTCACAGCTAGTAAGAAATATCACTAAATATTTGTGGTGTTTTGCAATTAAAATTAATGTAATATATATTGAATTTTGTATTTGCGGCTGTGAAGCAGACTTAGTAAAATCGAAACATTCCGCTATAATTTTATTGAATTTAATTATATAAGTATATTACAACTCTTGTTTACCCATTTTATTCCCTCGCTATTTTATTTCTAGATACGAGCTAATATACAATTTTGCTTTATACATTCTTCTGCATAAGATATTTTCTGTCTTGAAACGTATCTCATTTACATGACCATGAATGATACCTGAATGTGCTTCACAGTTGATGGGAAGGTAAAACGTTCGGCCATATCTGTACAATATGATAAACTTGGTTTACGGGTGAAAGCACCGGGCGACCTCACCGACGTTGAGCTGGACGAGGCCCTCGAAGCATTGATCGCACGCACTCAATCTCAGGAATCTTCATGTTTGCAGCAACTCGAGCTTACATCCTCCACGCTTAATAAAATCAGCGTGTCATCAATTAAACATTGCTCGGTCTTGGACGATGACATTATAAAGAGATCGGAGGAGCTCAAAGACACTATCAGAGAATACTTTCAATCCGATTCTCCTTTAAATAATCTTGATACCAATTTTCAGGTATGTTCTTGAATCGCAAAAATTAGAATCTCCGATGTAAAAGCAGTTAAAGTTGAGGATACATTATTTGACCTTTTTACAGAATAAAGAGACAAACGAGCAGCAGATCGCAGCCGATGTTCGCAATTTGATATTACGTTATAGGGATACTAAGTTCACGGGCCGTGCCGTAGCCCGTATCTTTTATGGAATACAAAGCCCGAATTATCCTGCACCGATTTGGAATAGATGTCGTTCTTGGAGAATTCATATCGCTGCAGATTTTAACACAATTTGCAAAATCGCGGATAGAGAAATTCTAGCGTTACGATAATGGAATCGACTGAATAATAATAATTAATATATTTAACCCCATCTTGTTAGTCATACACTTAATTTTAATTCTTATTAGAATAAACTTTTATGACGCATTGGAATAAATCGACAGACAAAAAGATTTGCCTTAAAAAAAAAAACATTTTCAACGTTCATGTAAATCACTAAAAAAAAAAAGGTAATTTTATGAAATATTTTTTGAAGAAACGATGGAACGAATCTTTAAAAAATTTTTTTGTTTTATTATTTATTTTAAAAAGTAGAAAAACATTTTATTAAAAATAATTGATTTTATAACAAAAATACAAAATTTCTAGTTTTTTTTACTAATATTGCTTTGTCGATGAACCTATAAAGTAAGAAAAAAGTTCAGAAATTGAAAAAATGGTGGCATTTAAAAAAAATCATAATTTTTACCAAAAAAATTTCATTTTATTTATGCAATAAAAATTATTTAAATTTATTATTTTATTAATCTTATAGGATCATCGACAGATAATTTTATAAAAATAAGATTATTTTGTATTTTTTGTTTTAGACGAGTACAAAAGGCGTTACAACTCCTGCCTACTTCAGCGAGGAGGCCACGGCAATATCTATAGTTGCTATAAAATCAATTATTTTTTAATATATTTAATATATCAATAAATTTTTGTCTACTTTTTAAAACATGTAATAAAACAAAAAATTTTTTAAACGATTCATTGCATTATTTTAAAAAATTCCATCAAATTATTTTTTTTAATGACTTACACCAGGCTTCCTCTTTTAAATTCATGGAAGTTTATTAGATCACACACACACACACACACACAC